GTAAGCTGGATATTTGTGAAGTAAGAAATTGAAATATCACATGACACAGATGTGCTTGGAGAGGAAAGGAGGACATTGACTTCCTGAAGATCAGTGGCCAATATAAAATGTGTTGTATATTCTTTAAGACGGCAATTCAGAAAACCTCAAAAAGACCATTTTTATTGGAGCAGCTGTTTTAATTTCTATGAAGAAACTGATTGAAAATAAGCTGTTACATATTTTAGTGAAGTGTAATGTCCAAAATAATTGATGGGTGCTCTTCATATGTAACAATTGGTTTCAACTATTAAATCACAGACTCAGTGCCATGGGTATTTTGCTGGGGCTAAGAAGAACAGAATGCTAGATTGCAGACAACTCTTCCTTTAGAATCTGGCTACATCTGAGAAGCACTATCAACAGGTAGAAGAACTAGGCAAAGCAGCTAGGGCTGCCCAGCCTCTCATTTCTGTTTTCCTGGGAAGGTTTTATTATGGCTTATATCACTGGGGGAGGGTAACTGATATGCTGTTGACATTAATAAGTAGTAAAATATTCAGACTTAAGGCTGCTGATGGTGAGAGAATAATCTGTCCCAGATCCACTTCCACTAAACCTGGATGGGACCCAGTGGCCAGCCTTGACATGTAATAGATCAGGAGCTTTGGGGAATTCCCTGGTTTCTGCTGATACCTGTTTGATACCCTGCGAATACCCTGACTGTCTCTGCAGGAGATGGTGATTGTGTCTCCTGGAGATGCAGACAGGGAGAATAGAGACAACGTCATCTGGATGTCACAACTGGTACCTGGCATTGGAAAAATAAAAGCAAATATCCACATTATTACTCATGTTATTACAGGACTTCCCTGAATCCACAGGCATCACTGACCACACAGGGTGAGAGAAGTTTTATCCTCCCTTACCTGGGAGGCAAAGCAGCAGGAGGAGATGAGTAGCAGTCCTCATGTCCATGTGGGGTACTGACTGGGATTGACTGCTGCACAGGTGTGAACAGCTTATTATGACTTCATTATGGCAGTAGGATGTGATGTAGGCAAATGCAAATCAGGAGGGCTGGACAAAGATGGATATTCCTGAAAGGCTGGCTCATCTCAGGAAATCATCATAGGTACATGAGGCCCACGTATCTTAGTTTTAGACTAGAGAATATGATTCATTCAAACAGCACAAGTCACAATCAGTCTGCTTTCCTTCATGTAGATCTACTGGTGCCTGCAGGGATGAGGACCTGCTTTTCCTGTGTGTCCTAATCTCAATTCTCTGTAGTGACTTTGAAAAGTATAAGATAAAGGCAAATTGAATGTATTATATTCCGTATATGGAAGAAGTAAAGATATGGGAGAATAGAGTTTCTGGGCATTTTAAACTGGTTTAATATCTTTATGCATGGGAACATCTCACTGCCATAGCAAAAGAGATATAAGCTGTTTTTATGTCTCAGTCTATTCCAAAACACACATATAAACATAAAATAAAATGTGGATTCTAATTGGGCCTCGGTGGCTCACAACTGGAATCCTAGCTACTCAAGACGCTGGGATCTGAGGATTGTGGTTCATAGTCTGGAGAGGAAAATACATGAGAATCCTATCTCCAATTATCCACCAGAAAAAATGGAAGTGACACTGTGGCTCAAGTAGGAATGCACTAACCTTGAGCTGAGGAGCTCAGGGATAGCGCCTAGGCTCAGAGTTCAAGCTCCTTAACCATCCTCCCCATCCCCAGAAATGTGGATTCTCCTTTAGATCAGGTATAAGGCTGAGGCAAACTTTCCCTTATTTGGCTTTACTATGTAAATTATAAAACACTTAAAGCAAGGAAAGCAATTATAACAATGACCTAAGTAAGCCATTTCCTGTGGTTTGATGGCTAAGGGGCTGAAACAAATGCTTGTTGCTACCAGAAAAGACCAAAATTACCTCAGTATTTGTGATATGCCACTATCTCCAGTCAGACATTTTAATCTTGAACTTAAGACCACATGTTATCAATGTACATGCTATGTTTAATACTATTATGATGACATACAATAATTGAAAAAAGCAAGGCGATTAATTTATCCAAAATCTGCTTGCTCATGTGGAACACTAATAATTAAGAAGCATGTAGTCTCACATTGAAGGTGGTCAAAATCAGTGAGTAAGAGTAAGGACATAGAGACAATGTCTTTATATATCATGTTGTTTCTTTCTCATTGGTCTGCCAGTGTTATGATATCTTCTCTGGGTCTTCATTATGTTCTCACCCTTGCAAATAAATAGGATGATACCCACACTCTTCCTTTCTCGCTGAGAATATTAGCAATCTCGAAGCTAGATCAGGTCAGATAAGCTGTCTATAACAGGTATTGAAGAGAGCAATACAGACTGATAGCCCATCCTCCTAACCAGAAAAATTGCTTTGGTCCAGAGGCATGTGAGAGCTTTTTCTACCTGTGAAGAGAATAAATTTCTACTATCTCGAACTTCCACAGGCTGACTCTGGTGTTCCAGAGGTCTACAGGTGAAGGGCCTGGAGAAATCACTGGCTAAATATATCAAGAGCCTATTGTTACAAGGTTGCCAGCCCTACCCCTAATGTTCTTCACTGGATACTGGTGTGTAAATCGTGCCACCTGCTGAAAGGAATGGTCAAAACGAGGACAGCGTGGTTTTGGTCTAAGTCAGAGCCCAAGAGAAATCTATGTGTAGATGGTTTATGAAAAGACAGCATTGGGATATGATAAATCATATAGGATTCTAAATATCTACACAAAATCAGACCAAAAGAGAATACTCTAAGGAGAGAAACAATTAGGCAGAATGTCTACATGTCTCTTCATATATACATAAAATTTTCTGTATATAGTCATATATCTAAATGAAATCAATGATACAGAACAAAAGATCTGTCTTACTTCTTTTAATTTTTGATGATTCTGTTTTATTTATCTATGGTAAATTCAACTGTACATACTCAGGAGGGTTGAGGGAATACAGAATTGTATAGAATTGGATGTAATAATTATGATTTGGGGCAGCAGTGGAGCTCATTGCACATGCATTGATGTAAACTACACAACTTTATATGTTTCATAGGTGGAGACATGAGTACAATATTATCTAATTATCCATTATCACTGTTCTCATATGATTCATATAATTATAATACCTCTGCAATTCACCTTAATAATCACAATAAAATAAATGTGAAAAATGGAGAAAAACATAATGGAAAGACACAATTTGCCAATGTGAAGAGGAAATCATTTACCAATGTATTAAAGATTTGACATAAGCAAATTTTCAAATAAATCTGAGAGATCAGGAAATAGATAAACTCATAAAAATAAATTGCCATGAATTTAAAAAGAATAGCCAACATTGGGAATGATGCCCACTGTGGGTGGTCATCAACTTAGGGAGGAATTCTTCACCTATTTTCATATACATAACAAAATACATATACAGAAACATATATGAAGTCTATTAAGATGTTATTAAGAATGTTGATTACAAGGTTTTAAAAAAATTTAAGCATAGAGTGAAAAGTATGCTAAACATTATCATTACATCTAGATAAATCCATTGTAGGTTGGATATATTATTCATCAAAAATGCATATAAAACAAACTGGGCACCAGTGGCTTATATTAAAATGTCCTGAATGGCCTGTAATATTAGCTACTCAAGAGGCTCAGATCTGAGGATCACGGTTCAAAGCCAGCCCAGGCATGAAAGTGTGTGAGACTCTTATCTCCAATAAACCAATTAGAAAACCAAAGTGGCACTGTGGTTAATGTGGTAGAGAGTTAGCCTTGAGCTGAACAGCTGAGGGAGAGCACCCAGGTCGAGTTCAAGCCCCACAAATGACAAAAAAAATGCATCCATTACAAATATCCTGCAGAACCATTTTAGGTAGCCACACTCCCTTACATTCCTCTGAACACTTCCATTATTCTGCTGATGGGTATCGACATCTAACAAAATCCTATCTTTATAATAATTGTATATTTACAATACACTGTTATGTAGTGTTTGTTTCCTTTTCTGATTAGGATATATGTGTGGGGGGGGTGTATGTACATATATATTTATACATGGCTACTGGAAATTGCTGCTTGGTACCTCTGATTGGTATCAAGGAAGGGTATTAGTACTAGGTATCAATCACCCAGGGAAACATAAGCATTGAAAATATGAATCTAGATTGCTACTGAGCACACACTGCTTTGGAGACAGTGGAAAGAAATAAAGAATAGCAATTATTGATCCATTGGAATGCAAACCATTGAAAGTAGAAGATTACCTATGTATAAGAAATGTGGACCTCCAAATTATTTAAAATTACTGTAAAACTTTTTAAGTTAAAATTTAGTGGTATAGATAATGAAGAAGAAATTAGTGTCTGAAAAAATATACATCAAACAAAATTATTAATGGCTTATTACATTTTGTACAAATAGAAAGGGATGAAAAGGTTTTGGACCACCTGTTAAAAGTCACAAAGATATAAAGTGAATTGACACAGACGACATGTAGGTGTCAAACCAAATAATTTTGAAATAATCTACTAGATACTAAGGTCAGCTTCCCTTGAGTTTAAATGAGTAGGAACACTGGGGCATTTTTCCCACCTTTCTTCTCCTTGTCTATTACCATTGGAGTAATAAGCAAAGATGGGGTAACTGCAGGACAGCTTGTCTTTATCCTATATTATAGTCATGATGGAATATCAGAAGAAAAGGCAATAAAATATAAAAATAAGAACGTGAGAATTTCTTTTTCATTGCGCACAGGAAAAAGACAGTTTTTCAGGGCACTAACCCTATCTCTCCAAGGATTTGAAGCCTCACTTTCCTTGTTATGTAACAGTTCCAAAGATGAGAAACATTCTGAATAGATAGAGAAGGGATCATGTCACATAATAATGTTCATGGTGAAACTTATTTTCAAATATTCTCTACATAGATTGCTCTACTGCATCTTCCCTTGCCACTACATATTCTTCCATGATTATGCAGGATCACAGCCACTGATGCAAACAATGACCATGGGAGAAAGCAGGACTGAGCAGAGAGGAAGCAGCAGCAGCAGCAAAATCTCTGACTCAATTTCTGTGAAGTTTGTGATGGAAGCTGAAGTGCTAAGAGGGAAGTTTACAAAACTATGGAGAGTAATAGTTGGTTATGTGAATCACAGGGAGGCTGGTCATGGTCAGTGTGAAATCTGTCCCAAATACTCTCTATGAAACCCACCAGGTACTCAGACATCCAAGAAAATGGGAAACAGATGAGCCTGTAGGAGCATGATCTATTTCCTTCGGGTCCTAGGCTAAGCAATAATTCTGGTTGGAGCTCTTTGAAAGACTGGCTTGAGTTGATATTCCTGGTGACCCTCTTTCCTATACATATAGTCACAGAGATTAGAGGTAGAATAATCATCAATTCTTTAAAGAAACCTTCCATCAGGAATATAGAATGGCCAGACATTTCATCATTGGTCACATTAATATGTGTATGGGTAAGTGGTTTTCCAATGAATCAACTTTCAGACTAATATAGATGATTTCCTTTATTCTATATGCCCCCAAACAAGTTTTAGTTCTTAAGGATATCACTCATCTAAACCTACAGTCTAAATCCCCAGAAGCAGGATGAAGCGGAGTGTGTACAGTGGCACTTTCTTAATGTCCTCACTCATCTGAATCACTCCAGAAACTTCTTTTGGGAAATCCTGTAACCAGAGCTCTGAGCATCCAGCCATGGTCCTGTGGATCCTGTGTAAAGCTTCAGCAAGGGTGAGTGCAAAAGTGTGTTAACAATGAGCAAGAGGATTTAAACTAATAAAAGACAAAATACCATATCTTAATAGGATTGATTATAAGAGTACTGAATGTTCAGAATCAAAACTGTAATGATCTGTATTTTCCAGTTATGTTTATACATACAAAATAGCTTTATATTAAATCATTCTAATTAGCCAACATCAACATAGAAAAGTAAATTCCTAACAAAGTATGCAATTGTGACCATATAATTTCAAAACTTTATTAATATACATACATATGATGTCAGAGCATGAAATATGTTCATGTTACTAGATAGAATGACAGAGTGCACAATTAATTCCTCCAACTCAAACTCTTCTGAAGTGTAAATATATATTGGAAGTTCACCTTGAATGATTTTAAAGCACCTCAGTATTTGTGGGGAACACAGGCAGCAAAGATGGCACTGAGAGGGAGTTGAGTGGGCAGAGTCCAATTTACTGTAGAGTACATGGGCTGCAAAACTGGTGCTGAGAGAGTAGAGAGGGCAGAGCCCAATTTGCCTTATGATCAGTGCATAATCAGCCCTTGAAAGCTTAGGTTCATGATAGGGTATGACCTTGACAGTGATTGGTTCCTCTTCCTCCCCTGCCATGCCACCCGCCCATTTTGGCTTTAAAAAGGGCTGCTCTCTGTTAATAAATGAGTTTTCTTCCTGCTTGATTTGGCTCCCCGCTTTGTTTGATTGTCTCCTGGGCCAAGGGAGTCTGGGGAACGGGCAATCGCTGCACTTACCTTTCTATGGACCCTGTCTGTCTTTTGTGGGAAGGAGGAAGATCCAACAAGTATGTCCCAGCATTTTCATTTGCTGTGTCCTATGACTGTGAGTTGTACTTTGAACTAAGATGAAGATAGTATCAGAATTCTCACCTGAGCTGGCACTCTCCAACTTTATAATAAATAAGGCATGGAGGAGAAGCCATTTCACCTCATGAATAAGCTATTCCTCATTAAAACATCAGTATCAATTCCTTAGCTCATATTTTCCTTAATAGGTTAAATCGTTTATCTTATTCTCATAATTAAATTTTTCAGACATTGACTAGTTGTCTCTTTTTTTTGTACTAGGATCTCTTTCTTGGAACTTGTCCTTAGTTTCAAGTTACATCAGCATCATCTTACATTTTTTTTCTTGGTTTTCCAATGGAGAGAAAGACATTTGTCTATTAATAGTTCCTATTAGTGAATAATGATATTCCAACACTATAGGTGTATTTTGGGGATTGAAAAGTCATTTCATTTTCCAGGCAATGGAAAACTGTGTAGATACTTCTCTATCTGCACAAGGGTACATATGTTTCTACAGATGGAATGAGAGAGACATAAGCTTACATTAATACCTTTAATTCCATTTCCAAACCACAATTAACATCAATTGCCTTTCTGTAGAAATGAAAAACATTTATCAGTGAATATCTTGACTCTAATTATTTCAATGAATAATGCAAGGTTGATGTATGCTTCCATTGATAACTACTCCTAGTCTTCACCATCATATATATTTCCATTGTGGACAACATCCACAAACACACACACCAGCTTCTATCTGCAGTGATTCTGTGGTCATCATTGTTCATCTGCCCCATTGATAGGTCGCTTCCTCTCCTGACCTGGGTCTGATTCCCACACTGGGATCCCCTACTAACAGTGAATATTGTTGCTTATTCTTCTTAGTTGGAATCACTTTACCAACAATAATACTTGCTCCCATGTGAGGATACACTTTAGATTCCAGTATGGCCAAACTCCCCATAGAAAGACTTACTTTCATTCCCTTACCTGCTTTTGTCCTCAATCTTGGGCCACGTTGCCTTAAATACAGTCAATGAGACATGTTTCTTTAGGCACTAAAAGATTGGGACCTGGTAGAAATAGCTGATTACGGATCATAGTAAATACAGGCAAATTAATGAACAATTGGTATAAACAGGATGCCTGCTACTGAAGAAAATGAGATTAACAGTAGGTAAAGAGATGGGGGCCAGTGGCTTATTTTTGTATTCCTAGCTACACAGGAAGTTGAGATCTGAAGAGTCTTACCACAAACTCAACAACAAAAAAAGAGTATGTAGAGATCAGGCCAGTAATCTCTGGCATCCAGGAATGACCAGGCAAAAATACATGCAATTGTGAACATTGCCTAATATTGCTTTTATATTGCTCTAATTTCACATAAATATAATGATGGAATTAGAGCAAAGAGTAATCATGTGTGATATCAGTAATACCTGTGGGAGATGTGAAGAATGTGTCAGAGGTTGCAATTTTGGGGATTATACTGTAACAGACAGGCCATTTCATAATGGAATGTGACCAGGGACAGAATGCAGTGGATCTAGAAGAGATCAAAATGGCATCCTACCCACAGATCCTTGACAGGTGCTGGTCTTCAGCATCCAGAGACAATCATGTTTTCTGCATTTGAAGCTGACGATTCTTGGGGACACTGGGCCTTTACTGAATTGCTGAAATGTGGTCAGATCTGTCCAGGCTCTGCTTATTTGCATATACCCAAAGCACAGTCCACTGACTTGAGGATTTCTTCACAGCACAGTCATATCCTATGCTGGAGTTATTCTCAGTCAGCACACCACATGACCATGAGGTTTTCTGCTCAGCTCCAGGAGCTCCTGTTGTTCTGACTTTCAGGTAACAAAGACAGCACTGGAAATTTGTTCAGCACAGTGTGGTGAATTCAATCTTGCATTCTAGGGAAGTTTTTCTACAACACGCTTATCAGTACGTGTATTTATTTCCATGTTTCCTCTGCAAAGTGCCAGATATGACATCCAGATGACCCAGTCTCTGTCCTCCCTTCTAATCTCCGGGAAGGAGAGAGAGTCACCATGTCTTGCCATACCATTCAAGCATTAGCAGCAGTTTATCCTGGAATCAGTAGAAATCAGGAAAGCTCCAAAGGTCCTGATCTACTTTGCAGTCAGTTTAGAATCAGCTACCCAGCCTAGGTTCAGTTACAATAGATCTAGGACAGAGTTCATTTTCACCATCAGCATCCTGCCTATAACTGTCAACAAGGTTATAATACTTCTCCCACAGTGATACAAGTCATTATCTAAAACTCCCAGGGAAGCAGAATTGAGAGTCTGGGCTTCCCCAGCTGCTACTGTTTACCTGCTGAGAGTATTTCTTAGAAGCAGCCAGGCTCTGAAGGTCACTGCAAGGCTTGTGTACAAGGGCCAGAAAGGCTTTTCTGCATCCTAACTCTCTCTTTTTTTCTCAGTTCCAGAGGCATGGACATGATTCTGTCTGGTGGTATCCTTCAAAATTAAGGTTTTCACACATGAAGTTCAAGTGTTCTGACATCATTTAGTATTCATACAGCAAAATGGAAGTCTCTGCAGATAAGCAGGATATTCCAATGCAGTCAATTGTAGTCTACACTAGATCATTATCTTGAAATTGGATATATGGAACACGGGTTTGTCTGAAGCTTCTTCAGAACACAGGGCTCCTTTACAAGTGTAGCCTGGTTTTCTCTGAGGTGTTCACAATGTTCTGGAAGAGATCATGAGATATATATCCTGGATTAGTGCAGATCTCCAGCATCCAGAGAGAAGCCTGTTGTCTGCTGACAAATCTGCACTCCTCTTATACAACTGAGATCTTTGGAGGTGTCCTGGAGTGGTGACAATAGAAAGTTCTGTATGGCCTCTAATGTTGGAAATATAAAATTTGGTAGATGGGATGTTTCTCAAATAGGAATGGATATTCTTTAAAATGTTATTCCTTGCCAGACACTGGTGACTCATAACTATAATTCTAGCTATATAGGTGGTGGCAAAAATGTGAGGATCATAGTTTGAAGCCAAGTAAGACGGGGAAATCTGTGAAACTCTGATCTCCATTTAAACCCCCAAATCTGGAAATAGAGCTTTGTCTCATATCTTCAAGCATTAGCCTTGAGTACAAAAGCTCAAGAACAGAGCCCAAGCTGTAACATAAGTACCAAGACTGGCCTAAAATTAATAAGTACAATAAAATTTAAAAATAAAATTTTATTTTCACCCCTGTGACCAAATTAGAAAAACTTCAGCAAGTCATATCATAAACACAATGTGAGGGATTAAACAGGTGAAAATGATCTAATGAGCAATATATTCAATAAAGGTAAGCAAATACAAAAAAATTATACATTCCTCAATAGATAAATCCTTCAGTACTTATTACTGACCAGAATCGATTGACATCATCTAGATTACTTTCAGAAAGATGAAAATGGGAAATGAACTCTGTACTTTACACCTGTGATTATGTACAAAATTCAAAATCTCTGCTTTTAGGGCTATTTACTTTGGCCAAAGTGACTATGATATTGAGCAATTTAGGATTAGCATTTCAGAAATTTAGGAATCTCTCTCAATTTCTGAGCTTTTCTATACTACAAAAATATGTTTTTATTGTCTTTAGGACATTGTACAAAGGAGTTGCCATTCCACAAACCAGTTTATGAGCATAATACCTCTTCAGTGTGATCCCTTTTAAAATTCTCACTCCTCTCACACCACACTTATCTTCATGTTTGTTAACAGTGTTTTTGTTTTGTTTTGTTTTTTTGTTGGTTGTGGGGCCTGAACTCTGGGTCCCAGAGCTGTCCCTCAGCTCTTCAATTCAAGGGGAACACTCTTGCACTTGAGCCACAGTGACTCTCCTGGCTTTTTCTGCTTATGTTGTGCTGAGAAATCGAACCCAGGGCCTCATGCATGCAATGCAATCACTTTACCACTGAGCCACCGTCCTAGCCCATTTTTGTTAATGTTTAAGTTATGTTTTGAAAGTTTTGTCGTTATAACAAAGCTATTCATGCACACAATGCATTTTGAGATATGTCAGCCCTCCTTCGACTTGCCCTCTCCCTTGTTTTTCTCAGTTCTGTGGCATATGCACTCCATTCTTAACTGCATTCTACTCATTTCCTCTATTTATTTTTCTACCTATTTCCTCCTGATCTCAAACTCTCTTGCAAGTACATTTCCTAGCACTCAGTTTTTTATATCTAGACTTGATCTAAGAAAAGCAGTTTTAACATATTTCAAATCATTTCTAACAGTTTTACAATTTTGCCTAACAAAGATGAAATAAAATTAATAGAATTAATAATTTCCATACTTTTGGTGATTGTTTGTGTTTGTGTGTGTGTGTGTGTGTGTTTGTGCATTCTAGTGATGGTAATTGAACTCAAGACCTGTGCACGGTCCTTGTGTTTTTGTGTTCAAAACTAGTGTACTACCACTTGAGCAACAGCTCCACAACTAGTATTTTTGTTGATTAATTGGAGATAAAAATCTCAAGGACTTTCTTGCCTGGGCTGGCTTTGAGCCATGATCCTCAGATCTCAGTCACCGGAAGGATTAAGAATTAGGATTTCGAGGTAGAATAAATAGCCAAACAATTCTAGGCAAAAAAAGGAATGCTGATATAATCTCAATCACAAGACTCAAGCTCTACTATGAGCTTGGTCCTGGCACAAAAATAATCCCAAAGATGGACAGAACAGACTAGAAGACCTAGAAATAAAATCATACTTTTGATATGGTTTGATTTGGAGGTAAAGTATACCCTGGGAAAATGAGAGCTTCTTCAATAAATGATTCTGAGAAAACTGAGCAGCCATATGAAGGAAACTAGAAATTGATCCCTGTTTGTCACCATGTACAAATATCAACTCATAGAAGATCAAACACCTCATCATTAGACCTGAAACTTTGAAATTACTACAAGAGAGAGTGGGAGAAACACTGGAAGTCATTGACATAGGCAGAAAGTTTTAGGAGAGAGTTTCAAAGGCAAACAAGATTGGAGAGAAACTTGACAAATGGGATTGCATCAGACTAAAAAGTTTCTGCACAGCAATGGACATTGTTTCTAAACTAGAAAGGTAGCCAACAGAATATGAGAACTTTACCAACAATACATCAGACAAAGTCTAATATCCAAACTATCCAATGAACTTAAGAAACTACTCCCTCCCAAAACTAGTAAATCAGTTAGTTAATGGGCAAAGAGCTAAGGATAGATAACTTAGAAGATGAGGTAAGAATGCTAAAGGAACACATAAGGAAATGCTCTTCATACCTTTCCATAGAGGATATGAAAAATAAAACCACCTCATAGATTCCATCAGACTCCAGTAAGATTGGCCAACATTGTGAATTCAAATAACAAATGTTGGCAGGAATGTGAAGGAAAAGGAATCTTATTGCACTGTTGGTGGGATTGTAATCTGACACAACCACTCTGGAACAGGCTGGTGGTTCCTCACAAAATGTAACATAGATCTTCCTTGAAACCCAGCCATACCTCTCAGCATCTGCACTGAACCTCACAAGCCAGGATACCATATAGACACTTGCACATCCATGTTCATTGCCACACTATTCAAAATACCCAAATTGTGGAAAAAGTTGAGTTGCCCTACAATAGATGAACAGTTGAAATGTGTTACCTATTCAAAAAGGAATTGTACATAATCATTAGAAAAAATAAAATTGTATCATTTGCCTGGAAATGGATGGACGTAGGACAAATCCTGTTGTGTGGTATGCCAAGCTCAGAGAGAGAGAAGTATTGCATGTTTTCTTTCATGTGAGGAGTCTATATCTAAAATATAGGTCTCTAGGCATGTACACAAAGTGAGACTAAAGGAGGATATTCTTAAAAGAGGAACAGAAAGACACAATGCCTGTGTACTTATTTTTACTTGTAACATATATTTTTTATTGTAAATATATTGTACAGAGGGATTACAGTTACACGAGCAAGGTAATGGGCCCACTTTCTATCCAGTATTGTAATGAGATCATTTCCTATCCAAAATTGTTACCTCTTATTTTTTCCCCTACCATCCTTTTCCCTCCCCACCTCCCCAACTTCTCCCAACCACCTCCCAAGCAAAGTTGTAAAGTTTATTTTCAAAATAATGTATTGTACATCTCATTGTTACAATGGGTCATCCTGTATCCTTATTTCTGACCATACAAAATAACATTTATAAAAAGGAACTCAAAACATGGAAATAAGACATATTTTCTTTATTACTGTGTTTCTTTTCTTGTCTTGTTTGTTCGTTAGTTCATATATCTTTGGAGGGTAAGGAGAGTCACAGAAATGTAGGCACAAAAAGTGAACAAATGCAGCAATGGTACTCATGGACTCTATGTTGAAAATGAAACATAAAACTTGTGGATGGTCCTTTATGGAGCAAGCTTTGGAGAAACTAGGAACTGATGGAACATTCCTCAATATAATAAAGGCTATATATAACAAACCTACAGTCAGCATTATGCTAAATGGTGAAGAGTTAAAATTATGTCTTCTAAAGATTATGACAAGGTGGTCTGCTCTCTCCACTCTCTTCATAATAAAGGATTGGGAGGATTAACATGTGAAAATGGCAATAATTCCAAGATCTATCTAAAATTCAATGCAATACCCATCAAAATCCCAACAACATTTTTCAATCAACAAGAAGAAGCAATCCAAAAATTCACGTGGAATAATAGAAAACCTGAATAGCTAAAGCAATTTTTAGCAGGAAGAACACTGCTAGAGGAATATCAATACTTCAAACTCTATTATAAAGCTGTACTTACAAAAACAGCTTGGTACAGAAACATGAACAGGCTTGTAGAACACTGGAGTAGAATTGAAGCCCCAGAAAGGAACTCGCAGACCCATGGCCACCTAATCTTTGGTAAGGTAGCCAAAAACAAAGGATGGAAGAATGACAGTCTCTTCAAAAAATGGTGCTGTCAGAATTGGTTATACATGTATAGAAACATGAAAACTGAATTTAAATCCTTATATATCACCCTGAACCAGAATCCACTCCAAATGGATCAAAGACCTTGAGTTTTAAACCCCAGTATTACCAACTTGACTAGCTTCACAATATATTTGTGTGAGCTTCATGTCACTTCACCTATAGCAACGGTTGGTTACAGTCGTGTTTTTTCAATGTTTCACATGTCTTCCAATCTTCAGCTTACTTTACAAGATCTTCCTCTGACCTTTGGTCATACATACTCAAATTTTTCAGCCTATGTTCTCCTCTGCACATTGTCAAAATTTGTCTTAGGAAAGGGAAAATTTCATCCTGCTCTCCTCTACCTCTTACTCCTAATCCTCCTTCCCACTTTCTCCCTCCTCCTTCTCTCAAGGACAATAATTTGAGGAAGTTAAATTGGAAAGTTCTTTTAAAATTACATGATTGTATTATTTTTGTTAGTTGTGGGGCTTGAACCCTTGGCCTGGACACTGTCCCTATGTTCTTCAGCTTAAGGCAAGCACTCTACCACTTCCTGTACTCTGGTTTATTGTAGATAAGAGTCTCCTGGACTTTCCTGCCTGGACTGGCTTCGAAAAGTGATCCTCAAATATCAGCCTCCTGAGTAGTTTGGATTATAGACCTGAGCCAACTGTGCCTAGCTTCATGATTGTATGTTTGACTGCTGTTGTTGGAAGTGGGTCTTGAACTACAGGACTGGGTGTTGTCCCTCAGCTAATACTCTACCAGTGGAGCATCAGCTCCACTTCTACTGATTTTAATACAGTAGGTTGATCTATAAAATTGACAATCCTAACGTGATTAGAAACAAACATAATATGAATATATTAAAATACTGATAAAAGGCAACATCTATTCACAATATGCAAAAGCTATTAGTGTCTAAGAAAGACAGAAATAATGAAAAAATACCAAAGTGGTTTGAAACATATGTAAAAAATGAATGATAAGTATCATAATAAGTGGTGAGATATTTTAACATTTTCCCCATCAGATTGATTTAAATGTTGAAATATTTACTATCATATCCTCACATACAAAATTATACAGGATGGTCCCCTCCAAATTCTAGAAAAATTATAGAAATTATAGAAAATTATAGAAAAATATCTGTTTTAGAGTAAAGGAGACAGAGCTACTGAAATGTATTTCTATAGTCACTTAGGTGGACTATTTCTGACAGTTGGGGGAAACTGACCATTGTTGACAGCTATCTCAATACATCATGATCATTAAGATTGTGTGTGGAAGCTCAACTCCCTTTTCCTTCCTTTGTTTCCTGAAGAGTTCATCATTATGTCATCCTTTGATGAGATTCGGTGAACTGGAGAGACTTGCATAATTCTTCACATAAGCAGGCTGCCAGGTGATCAGAAGTGAGGCCTGGAGAATTCCCCTGGAGAGGCAGTTGGGTCAGGTGAGAGAATCAGCTGCTCACCCTGATGTTTTCCACAGGGTGGAGAATCACAGGATTATGTGCTCAAAACCCTAAGACAGCCTCACTGAACCAGAGAATGCCACACTCCTCCTTCCAACTTCTCTGATTACCTAGGAGTTAATAATCTAATGAATAGACTCATTTCCTATACTAAACCAATTCCTTCCTAGAGATTGTTGTCTGGCTTCTGTACTGTGTGAAGCAGAAAGGATGACTTTACATGAGAATAGACATGGCCATGTTTGTGCATCTGGGACAGAGGAGGAGAAAAGGGACAAAGATTCAGAGGAGCCTTCACATTTCAATGAAAAACCTCGAAAGTGTTCATAGCTGTGCTACATCTGAGAAGCTCTATCAGCAGATGGAGGCACCAAGGATCAGCAGCTGGACAGCCCAGCCTCTCACTTCTGCTTCCCTGGGAGGTTTTTGTTATGGCTTGTATCACTGTGGGAGGGTAACTATTATGCTGTAGACAGTAATAAGTGGAAAAATCCTCAGGCTGCAGGCTGCTGATGGTGAGAGTGAACTCTGTCCCAGATTGACTCCCACTGAACCTTGATGGAATTCCAGAGGCTAAATTCTTTGCATTATAGATCAGAAGCTTTGGAGCATTCCCTGGTTTCTGCTGATACCAGTTTAAATATTGGTTAATGCCCTGACTGGCCTGGCAAGTGATGGAGACTCTGTCTCCTGGAGATGCAGACAGGAAAGATGGAGACTGGGTCATCTGGATGTCACATCTGAAACCTGGCATTGGAAACATAAACACAAATATCCACACAGTTAGTCATGTTATAGGAGACCTACCATGAAGACCCAGGCAGCACTGAACACAAATGATGGGAGGAGTGCTGTCCTTCCCTACCTGGGAGCCAGAGCAGGAGGAGTCCCAGGAGCTGAGCAGGGGTCATCATCTCCATGCTGTGTGCTGACTGGGACTGACTGCTGCACAGGGTGTGAGCAGCCTATTATGAAGTCATTGGGGCAGTAGGCTGTGCTCTGAGCATATGCAAATCAGCAAAGCTTTGTAAAGCTGGGAACAGCTATAGGACCAGCCCAACTCAGAAAATCCTTATATTTCCTCTGTGCCCACATATCTTAGTTTAGCCCAGAGAGTGTTTTTCATCCATACAGCAGAAGCTGTGGTGAGTCTACTTTCCTTTGAATAGATCTCTTGGTGCATTCAAGGATGATGACCATTTCACTTGAGTTTTTCAATCTTTGTGTCATGATACTTGAAAGGGAGAAGAGTAAAGCAACAATTTCGTGCTTTATATTTAGAACATGCAGAGAAGTGAAGATAAAGAAAGAATAGAATTTGTGGATATTTTTAACTTGTTTAATATCTCTATGACTTTAACATCTCATTCACATACCAAGAGATATATAAGTTGTTAAATTTTCAAGCAAATCATGCTTCAGGCTCTTCTAAAACACACATATACACAAAGTAAAATGTGATTCATTCCAAAAGCAGGTATAAAGGCTGCATCCAACTCTTCCATATTGACTTAAATGCATAAAGGAAAATTTTGCTACACAGGAAAATTTTCAAAGCAAAGGAAAAAATTATATCAAGAGTTCAGTAAGCATGTCTTCTGGTTAGATGGCTAGAGGGCTGAAGCAAAAGCATATTGCTACCAGAAAAGTTCAACATATCTTCTGTTTTTTTGATTTGCCATGTCACCAGGTACAATTTTTACTTGGACTTACAGTTCCATATTATCCAAGAACTACAGCACATTCATATATCCATTACCCTCTGATCATTCCACATCAAATTCAGGGCAAACACTTACTTTCAAACACCCTAGTTCTCATGTATCCCTTTCATGTTACATGTGTCTAATTTTCTGCTACTATCAAGAGAATGGAGAGGCTCACCTATACTTCTTACACCCAGCTGGTCAGGACAGGGCAATTTCAAGGGTGAGGAAAAGATAGATGTTTTAAAGATTTAAAACATTGTGACACATTTTAAATATGACTTTGTTCCTCAATTGATCTAGTTGTGAGGGTGGGAGGCACAGATATCTCGGTGAAACTCCTAAAGTGGTTGGGATAGAAGATACGCCTTCTGGATGACAATGAAAGCTAATTTGTAATGATTTCAATGAGACTGCTAAATTTGGCAATATGGGAAATGAGCGATATCAATTTAATGTTAATGGCTTTAACTTATTGTAATTTGGAGTCAAGTTGAACACAGGACCAAAACCAATGCCACACTGCCTCACTGGTACTGTGCTTATATTCTGATCCCCTGGGAAGAGAAAAACGTCAGATCTAAGAGGGGTTGAGATCTATCTGATCTATGTGACCATTAAATATATTTTCAACTGCTATTCAGCATTACTTGCCTTAATTCTGGTCTTTGTAGGAACTGGTTTCTGAACCTGATGTGTCTCTGAATAACATCTTAAGGGCAAAATAAATTGTCAAGGGCTTTCCAGAGAAAGCCTTGAAATCCTAATGGTGTTTGGAAACATTATTGGGCTGTATAATGCATAACCAAATGATAGTTGCAGCGGTCTCAGTTCTATCTGGATTTCAACTTAAGTCGATTTATAATCTCAGGAGTTCAGGTTAGTGTCTGGGTGGTGGTCAATGAAGAAGGGGACATCTTGTACCCCTTCCCAAATCAAAATAATCCTTGATTTTAAGGTTCAGTGAATATTTGTAAAAAAAATCCAAACTCATTCTTCCATATTATGATGAACACAATGTCAGAAGTTGAAAGTGCATTGCCAGACCAATAGCATGCTACCCTGCCTGAAAAACAAAAGCAGATGAGGAATGACTCATGTGACAGAGTAATTATGTAGCAGACATCAAGTTTTCATTTTCAGTCTCAATAGCACCCAAAATAAAAATTCTGCATGTTGTCAATCAATTAGGCAAACAGGCAACATCCTATCACTGCCACAGTCTGCACATAATTCCAGTTTCCAGTTTGTGTTTTACAAAGGATTTTGTGCATTTAAAATAGTCCTGTTCTTTTTTAAGTAAAATGATAACTCATCAGAAGTAGTAATAGAGGCGAGGCAGCACACTGCATAATTCTTCCAATGTGACTCACTTTCACGCTCACCAGTTTCAGTGCTGTAGGTTTCTTTGCTGTTCCATAATAAAAGGGCTACAATTTTTCCTTAATTTGGAATTGTTTTTATTGTGCCATGTCTGTCATTTTTGATTCTTCTTGTTATCACAAAGAAAGTCAGACTACTTATACCAGATCTTTTCACTTTAACAAACATCTCTATATACTCTGCTTATATTCTCCATTCACCATACATGCCTATGGTTTTTCCTTGTTGTTTAGGTTTTTGGTGTTTATTTGTTTGTTCCCATGAATACTAGTAAGAAGATGACCCAGGCCCCAGCTTTACTATAGGTATCTATTGGGGTAAGATTGTATATCTTGTGTTTGATGGGATCTGGCTATAAAGAATCCAACCAGAATCTTGTTGCAGGGCAAATGTAAAATTCTATACTATTTTTACCTGGATTATCAGGCAATGCTGGCATCAGGTATTCCATATATTTGTGCTTCTACTAGACATTTTGTGTCTCACTGTCATCTTGAAGCAAGAGAGGAGACCCCTGAATATACACTAAAATGAACACCATATCAGGAATGAATGCCCTCAGAATTTCCTCAGAGCTGATGCGAGGAGAGTTGCATGCAAACCTCATACCCTCATCTTATGGAGAATAACCTGAAGGTAATTTGCACTTTTCCATGGGACATTGAGATTCAGTCATCATCAGCAACAGGAAGTGTTTAGCTTGTTGTATGGTCTTTACTGTCCATTTACCCTTCCCTATGTTTCTTCCTCCCTTCACATTGCTTCCTAAACATCCTAAATTGTGCTGACAGACCCTAGAACCCCTTGGGAACTCTGACTGTGTACAGAAAGTGTGACTGAGTTGTGTGTTTGGAGAGAGCCTGATGCTAGGAGAAAACTCCTGGCTTGTGTGTTGGCTTAACCTGTTTATATGGGATTCTAAGTGCTTATCATTATACAGCTATCCTATACAAAAACAGATTAAGTATTTGGTATGTAGTGATTTTAAATTTTACTATTTCTGATGCAGGTATGGCCCAATGTTGAGGCCAATTCAGTTTTTTCCCCTATCTATGTATCTATCTATCTATCTATCTATCTGTCTGTCTGTCTGTCTGTCTATCTATCTATCTAAATCTATATCTATACATCTACCATTGTGTAGTATACCGCTTAATTCAAAAATACATCAGACAGAATTCAGAACTCAGTTGATAATATAGGAATATTAGGGAAGCTCATTGTTTGGATGTGAAACACTCAGGATTTTTGCTCATGTATCACCAGATCTGCATAAAAGGTGAAAACAAAGATCCTCTCTGCTATTTTCTATTTATTTATTTATTGGGTCCAGTTGTGGGGCTTGAACTCTGGGCCTGGGCCCTGTACTTCAGCTCTTCAGCTCAAGGCTAGTGCTCTACCACTTGAGCCACAGCGCCACTTCCGGCTTTTTTCTTTTTGCTTATGTGGTGCCGAGGAATCGAACCCAGGGCATCTGGCATGCAAGGCAAGCGCTCTACCACTGAGCCACCTTCCCAGGCCCTCTCTGCTATTTTCAAGCATAGTTTTCTGTTAGGATTTTTCCTTTCTTTTTTTAAAATTTTATTTTACTGTAAAGATGCTGTATATGAGTAAGCTAATGAGTACATTATTTTGAAGATTGTTACCTCTTCCTTTGTTTTTTTTCTTTTATTATCACTTCCCTCTCTCACCTCCCGTACTTCTCCCTCCCACTGTCTTTCTTTTCTATTGTGAAAATGCCATACAGAGGAGTTATATTTACATGGGCAATGTAATGAGTACATTTCTTATCAAGCATTGTTGCCTCCTCCTTTGTTTCCCCTTCTCATCCTTACCCATTCTCCCCTGCGCCACCCCTCTTGCAGGCCAACATTGTAAAGTTCTTTGTTGACATAACGACTTGTACATCTCATTGTTGCAATGGGTCCACCTGTATCCCTATTTGAATGATTTGTTTTTTCCCTTCCCCTCCACAAAGTATACCAACATGAAATACAGTGAAAGCAGGAGTTAAACCATGCGGGAGGGACATACAAAGCAACAAAGTAGTCATCTTATAAATATGTTAGAAACAATCACAAGAAAGAAAAATCATTTGAATATTTATCCTGGGGTTCATTTCACCTAGCATCAACTCATCTGACCTTTTCTGCTTGTCTCCATCATATATAAGTTAATACAAATATGGGAAATCTTGAGACCTATGTTTCTTTGTGCCTGGCTTACTTCACTTAATATAATTTTTTCTAAGTCTTTCCATTCCTTTTCATCAGGGCCAACAGACTTTGCTATTTGTGAGGGACTAGAAATTGGAATGGATTGTATCCTATGAATTCAAAATTTGTCCTTCTAGTAAGGTTTGCTGCTTGTATACTTGGCCTTGTTCTTCCATTGTTTCCGTGCCATTTGTGACTTGTCAGCCTTTTAAGGCTCTTTCCTGAAACAAAACTGATGTCTTTGAAACACTTGACCAAAAAATATCATAGTTACTGTGCTTTGGGTACTAGTATCTAAGACTCTGAGAAGCTGAGAAAAGTAGGTGTATTTGGAAATTTCTGTTGTAGTTTGCATGAAAATGGGAAGTGGTCATTCTATTTTGGAGCTCCTTAGGGAAACTGAGTTTCTTGTTGTGGTCCTGAATATTGTAAATGACTGTTT